TAATAAGAAACTTTAGGACTATATGACTAATATCTTCATGGTAGAAAACTTAACTTCAACTTGCTGGTTGTATACCTAACATTACTGAAAGATTGCATTTTTCTCAAGCAATTTACTGATGTTCTCATTTTTTATTTTCTATTTTTTAATTGATATTCATTCTCTTATTTTTATTCTTATATTTGTCCGTTTTATTTCTTGTTTATCAGATCTTTATGTATTTATGTGAACATTTATTCTACCGTTCAAAAGTTTTGGGTCTGTTTGATCACCAAGGCTGCATTTATTTGATCTAAAATACGGTAAAAACGAATATTGTCAAATTTAAATTAACTGTTATATATAGTAATCATTTTAAAAAACGTAATGTATTTTCAGAAGTTTTCAGCATCATTACTCTGGTCTTCAGTGTCACATGATCCTTCAGAAATCATTCGAATATGATGATTTGACATTTCTTATTATTATCAGTGTTGAAAACGGTCGGTTGCTGCTTCATATTTTTGTGGAAACTGATATATTTTGTTTCAGGATTCTTTTATGAATAGAAAGTTTTTAAAAGAACAACATTTATTTGATATATATATATATTAATGTTTATAAACGTCTTTTCTGTCATTTTTGATTAATTTAATGCATCCTTGCTAAATAAAATTGTGTTTTTTTTTCCCTTTTTGTTTGCCTTCTGCTCTAAATCCCAATTCAGTTTCAATCAATCTACGATTGATCCATGTAATGGTGTTTGTTCACAATATTGCTAAAGCATTAAGCTATTATGTAGCAGACGTTTTTGACATTTAAAGCCTCGGTTATTGTCGATAATAAAACCAGCTCATTATTGACAGAACAACATGTGGAGTGAGCGCAGAAACACTCACACATGCTCATGGAAAGAAGGGTGGAGAGATAGAGCAATACAAGCAAATGAGAAAATAAATGAGCATAAGGAACAAGGTTTTCTTTTGATCACTCGCTGATGTTTCAGGCAAATGTGTGTGTGCGCGTTGGCGTATGTGTGTGTTCGTGCAGTTCTCTCAGAAACCGACGTCTCATTAAATCCAGCAACTCTGACACAAACAGCAAATTCTTGAGCATATCTGATGCCACTGCTGGCTCAGTTATTGAACTCATTTCTGCTTTAAAGAGGATGTATTCTACACGTTTGTAGCACTGTCTTTTTCCCGCAAGTCCACTTATAATATACTGTAAGTCAAGGTTGAAAAGTCAATGAGCATGAGCATTTTTTTTGTTGTTGCTGTTTTTGCTACTGTAACTTTAAGAATGACCTCTGTTGTGATTAACCACACAATGTTGTGTTGTTTGACTGCTCAGCATCTTTCTCTAATGACAGCCATTTAAAATGAGCCATGTGTTCTGATTAAATGCACTACTGTTCAAAAGTTTAGCATCAATACGATATTATGCAAAGATTTTTTACTTAGTGTGTGAAGAACATTTTAATAACCTAAAGAAGTGCTAGCCTATAGTTTTTTCCCCCCACTATATCCTTTATGTAATGGAAAGATTTCATTAAAGGTTCTTAGTTAAACTATTGATGCCAATAAATAAACTTTTTTTAAAGACTGTAGTGTACCAGGTAGCCTACACTCTGTATATCATTTAAGACTCAAGCAAAGCCGCTGTACCATCAGTGACGGGTCACGGACAAACATATTGGCACTTTAACTGTGAAGATGTGAGCATGCGAACTCGTCCACATCTGATTATCATCCGAGCGTGTGCCGGAGACCCCGGTCCCGACTCGACTCGCGGCTTCATTAAAATGACAGCTCTGTCATGCTGTTGAAGTCCACCGGCGAATAAGGGCTGACGTGACCCTCGGGTGAGTGAAAGCCCGGTTCAGAACCAGCTCGCTCTACTTCTTGATCTCTCGTTGCTGTGTGTGTTACTCAGAAAGTATTGATGTGTGTATGTGTGAGTGTGTGATGGGCTGAATCCAATCACAAACTCATTTTATGGAGGTAATTTTCTTCAAGGTGACTCAATTCGGCCTTTATATATTGAAGCTAAATGTACTGATGTCACTGTAAAAGAAATCTCAAACTCAGCACACACAAACACACACAGAGAGAGAGTGCAGCGCTGCAACACACAGATACAGAAGACAGGATGCCAATCACCAAACGCTGAGTGCCTGTCAAGCGAGGAGTTTTGCCGCAGAGTGAATCCGACAAACTGTAGGAGCGGCACAATCTCACTGCTATACAAATACTGTGATGCACACTTGCTTCTGTAACCCGCGAGGGCGTATAGAGATTGTTTTTGGGGAATGGATGCTGGGATAGACTTCTTACCCCGGAGAAACGTGGAGCGATCATATCACTGTCAGAACTGAATTATCTCCACAATAGCGGCACTGACTCTATTATGGCCATGTTGAATAGAATGAACAACAGATAACGCTGGGACAGTGGGCTTTTTGAAGATTGTGTTTGTCCATGTCTATGTGCGTGCGTGTGTGTGTTTGTTTGCCTGCATATCATTCATCGCTATTGGATTTTTTAGGTGTGATGCCACAAGTGATGGTGTGTTTCTGGCTGGTGAATTGATTCCTTCTCTGGAATCCAATGAACATCTTTCCGTTTATTGACAATGTGCAAATTTAACTTGAGCAAGAGTACATCGTGTTGTGTAGCCTACTCTATAATAATAACATATCATAATAATTACAATAATTACTGCCATAATAATACACACACATACTGAATGTAAGATCAATGCAAACAATACATTATTATGTATTTACTTATTTTATAGCATCTTTCAAAAGCTCAATATACTGAATATAAGAATAACTACTACAACAACAATATTTGTTTGTTTATTGATCAACTGTATTGATTTTGTATAGCATCTTTCTAAAGCTCAAGATTGACTTTCATGAACACAATAATGCATCTTAATGCAGTGCTTTCTGTTGGAATATACTCTGTTTAAAGGGATACTCCACTTTTTTTTGGAAATAGGCTCATTTTACAACTCCCCCAGAGTTAAACTGTTGAGTTTTACCGTTTTTGCTCTCATGGTACGGCAGTAAAGTTTCTTGATTATTACACAGGAATGAGAGTATAGTTCCTAGCCATATCAGCCTAGAAAATCGCAACTTTACATTTTCCGTCGGTCTTAGTGCACGATGTAACAACAGAAGAGTCAAGTTTTAAATAGGAAAAATATCGAAACTCTTTGGTCATTTTTTTTTTTTTAGAAATGCTAATGGTCTTGTCCACTTCAATGATGTGTGCTAAGCTATGCTAAAAGTGGTACCGCCAGAACCGGAGATCGGCTGAATGGATTCAAAAACGGTAAAACTCAACAGTTTAACTCTGGGGGAGTTGTAAAATGAGCCTATTTCCAAAAAAAAAGTGGAGTATCCCTTTAAAATAAAGTCAAACCAACAATCACAGCAGGTAAGTTGAATTTATGCATTTTTTTTACCAAAGAAAAAATAGATAAGTGATTCAATCCAATTCGCCCTGTTCCTTCCCAGCATGCACCAGGGCATGAATCATTTACTATAGTTGCATTTGACCATTTGCCATTTTTATTTACACTGTTGAGTTGATTTTGTCATATTTGAATAAGGGTATGAATTGTAGAGTACTGTTTTCAATTTTCTTTCTAGAGTGTATCATGCATCTGATCAATCAATCAGGAAGAAACCAAATCACACCCTTCGTAGTCTCATTCAGCGGTTGACCTGTAGCCGTCTGCGTCAGATTCAGAGAATGGCATTCAGGACTGCCACTGGAACAACTAACACACTCCTATGATCCTTCCCGTCTTCTGCGATCAGTGAGCGAGTGGCACATATGGTTCCATCACGTCAGTTTCCAAAACCTTCACTCTCTCTGTTTCCCGTTGGTAGAACGAGCCTCTAATCTCCACTCAATCTGCTGAGACCATCACATCCTTCAAGACACGGACTTATGTGAGCACTTCAATCACAGCACACTTCTGTTCTAGATTCTGTACCACTATAGCTTAATCTTGCCCCCGGTTACACAGACCAGGTTTAAATCTAATCCCAGACTAAAATGCATTACTGAGCTGTTTTAACTAAAAGCAATTTTAATACATGTCAGTGCCATTGTTTTGTCTCAAGATGCACACCAGTAATGTTTCTTTTTCTTTTTCTAAGACAAGTTTATTAAAGCTACTTGAATGTCCTATTGAACTAAGGCCTAATCCTGGCTTAATCTAAGCCCTGTCTGTGAAACCGGGCCTTGAAATTTGGCCTTTGGACTACTGCAAGTATTTATGGCTCTTGTATGATAAATTGCTCACAGTGTTCTTCATTTGTAAGTTGCTCTAGATAAATGCACCTGCAAAATGGCTAAATGTACTGTATATTGCAGGTTTTAAAAGGTTGCTCACAATCTCTGTCGCTCGTGTCCAATCACAGGAAAGCTCTCGGTGAAAATGAAGGATGTCAATGGCCCTTAACTTTTAAAATAACTTTTCATTATGGTTTGAACACGGCTTATGTAAGCTGAAATTCTTTATAACTGTTCCAAGCAATGTCATTTGCAGCAATGAACCATTTTGAGAACCTTTTAGTGAACCTTTTTCAACATAAACATTTTTTTTTTTTTTTTACATTTTAATAATAGAAAGAAGCCTTTTCCACCAAATAACCTTTTGTGGAATGGAAATGTTCCATGGATGTTAAAGGTTCTTCATGGAACCATAAATGGCAAAAAAACAACAACAACAACAACTTTATTTCTAAGTGTGAAAACACTCACATTTAAAGTTTAAAATCCTACTCCATGTAACATCTAAATTAACTTGTTTTATTACTGAGTACAATATTATTTAATATGACTGACTCGACCAGACAACATTAATCTATAGCAAAAAAAAAATCATGTTTAGTGTCAGGTGTATGTAATTTTTTTTACAGTGCAGTTTGGTAACATCCATGTTCGCAAAATCATTCATTTCAGCAGAAGATCCGTCGATGAATCCGGTCCTAGTGTTCGCAGTAGCCGGTGGAGGGCAGAGGCGGGCAGCTGGATGCGGGTTAAACCGAGAAACGGGACTCACGCTGCTCATATTCGGCGAGCGCCGAGCGCACATGCATGCATCTGGATGCTGAAACCCGAAAACCCGATCTCCAGCTCCTCTGAACACATCCGGAGCGAGAGAGGCAGCTCAAACACGCTATTATACAGTGCATGCGTGCGCGCTCTGAACTATTGAGCAACTCATGCAGAGGAGTGTGAGCGCGTCTGTGGAGAGCGCGTAGATGAGAGCTAGAGGGCGGCGGCGCATCGCTCCATTCCTCCAGTCCCGGGACCTTCTCCTGATCTCTCCCGTGAGGAACACACGCAGAACTTGGGACGCGTAACGGCGTCGGTCCTCCGCGCTCTACCACCGCAGCTCCGGTGTCACGGCTGAACCAAACCGAAGAGGGAACGAATATTCCGCGCTGAGGAGTTTTCCAAACTCCAAAGTCATGGGGAAAAACGGACGCCAGAGATTTGGATTGGGATTAGTGCTTCTCTTTCTGTGGATTCTGCTGAAAATAGTTGACGCGCAAGGTAAGATAACCAAATCATTATAGAGAGATTTTCATGTCTTGCTTTTAGTTCTTTTTTTAAATAATTAATTTAACATAATATAGGCTATTGCAGTGTGTATTTTACGTTATTTGTCTTTTATTTTATTTCTCACTTTTTTATGTCGCTGATTTTTGTGCATGCTTTATGCAAAACAGTCATTACTACTTTGAAATTGAGATCTGATCTGGAATTTGAGACCGCAAAGCCACAGCTATTCCTCTGGAGTATAGCCTAGCCCTAGACTCTTTAAAATAAAGTTTTTATTGGCATTTATGGTTTCAAGAAGAACCTTTAACATCCATAAACATTTGCATTGCACTAAAGGTGCCTTTGGGTATATAAGGGTTCTTAAGATTATTAAAATGTTCTTCACAGTAAGAAAAAATCACTGAAAGGATCACTTTCACTGGATGTGGATCAGGATCACTGAAAGGTTCTCAGAATGGCTCTATATGCGAAAAAAAAAACATTTTGGAACCTTTATTTTTAAGTGTATAGCCTATACTGATCACCTTATAGGCTAATATTTACTGGTTTTAATAGGGTTTGTGCTGTCAATTTTTTGTGGGGATATATTATTAAATAATGTAGTTTAATGCAGTGAGTGAATTTTTAATGGCCTTTTATTCATTGACACACATTTTCTGTCAGTTGTCGGACGCAGTCTCTAGCACAGACACACTTAATTTGAAATACATTTACAAAAAAGGATTTGTGAAAATGTTGTTATTTCTAAAAAAAAATATCTGTATACAGTTATTGACAGCAGGCTACTTAAAGGGTTAGTTCACCCCAAAATTAAAATGATCCTATAATATACTCACCCTCAAGCCATCCTAGGTGTATATGACTGACTGCCTTCTTTCAGACAAACACAATCGGAGTTATATTAAAAAATATATCCTGGCTCTTACAAGCTTTATAATGGGAGTGAATAACTGAGATTTTGAAGCCCAAAAAAAGCGCATATGGCTCCAGGGGGTTTATAAATTCATAACTTTATAAGCTATAATCACCGGCTTCCGGTAACAGACGGACGTGCGTCTAGTTCCGGCGGAAGAGTGACCTCTGACCCGACGTATGATGTAGGAATCAAAATCTCAGTTCTCACTCCCATTATAATAAGAGCCAGGATATTTTTATGATTGCGTATAAGAAAGTCATATACATCTAGGATGGCTTGAGGGTGAGAAAATTATGGGATATTTTTCATTTTTGTTTGAACCAACCCTGTAAGTTTTCCTTATCCGAGACTGATCTTATGGAAAGAGAGCAGCGTAATGTTGCTGTCGTGACCTATTCACATGACTGCGATTTCGCGCGCATTTATGTAGCGCACTTTAACTCCTAAATGTGATTTTTGTAGTTACTAGTTTATTGTTTCTCCTGGTGGATAGGTTATTTATGAAGCATGCATGGAATTTTGTTATTACGGATTCCAGCGGGATGAAACCAGATAATAACTTTTTAAATATTACAATAATTTACATTTTATTCTGGGTTTATGTTGAAATATGTTTGTTGAAAGTATTATGTTGTGCTGATTTGACCGCTTTAAATAGCCATTTTTTATTTATTACCAGTCAAAATTGTTTACTGCAGTCAAAAATGTATATTCTGTCATCATTTATTCACATTCCAAACCCTTATGACTTTCACACACTGTCTCTGTCAAGTGCCATCTTTGACATATGCCAACTTTGAATAGGCACAAGCACAAATGTAATTTGAGAGGATGAGATTCCACTGAACAACAACTTCAATTTTGGTCTGTTCACCACACAAATCTATCATATCGTTATATGGACTTTTATGAAGCTTTTTACAGCACAAATCACTATACACTTCCATTGTATGGAAAACAGCAAGTATGCTTTGTTTTGCATGGAAGAAAGAAAGTTGTATGTTTCTAACGACATGAGGGTGAGTAAATGATTGTCATTTCTAAGTAAATTATTCCTCTAAAATCTATTTTTCCTCCGCATTTGATCTTTCTTTTTGTAGTTCTAGGTATGAGATAACGCAATTTTGCTCTTGCTCCAGGATTTACGGGAAGTTCTGTCCTAAATTTGGTATTCATCACTCTATATTATAACAATGCAAAGCATTTTCCCATTTCCATCTGTGTGAATGCGTGCTGTAATGTAGAGTTATGAAATTAGAGAGCATCTGTCTTGTGTCTCGGTCTTTGCAGAGTGTTTTATGAGTCCGTAATGGAATCAGAGTTCATATGCGACTCCAGTCTGCTGAAGAGCAGGACGTCGTTAGAGGTTTCTAAGTCACTTTAAGGAGACAAGACAAAGTGGGAATGACTCCGTTTGTATGCCGCGTGTGAGTGTGTTTGTGTGCTTAGGGTAAGTGGTGGCCATCAGCTCGGAGACACAAGAAACCAGCAGCCCATTAAAAAGCCATTAGCTAAAGCCGTCTCTCTTGCCGTCGAGTTTGTGTTGTGTGTCAAACAAACAGCAGAGAGAGAGAGAGACACACGGGGCAGTGAGATTTCAGAAAGAAAATCTGGAGGTGCACTCTTAAAGTCAGCATATGGACTATTATTTATTTTCTTAATATTTGTGTTATTGTGAGCGATTCATTGCTTAAATTACATTAAATTAATAATAATAAATTCCCTGTGAAACAACTTCCCACTTCTGCTGATATCAAACCCTCTTATTTTTCAACAACTCCTGAGTCCTGTTTAGCTCTAGCCTGGGAAAACCCAGACAACTTCTGGCAAATTTAGATTTGCTCTGAAAGTTAGTCTGGCAAAGAGCTCATTCAAGCCCATTTCCAATCCGTCGAAATCGCGGCACCAATCAGAAACGTTGGGGCGGGCTTTACACGATGACGACAGCGCTGGGATTTTGAAGCAGATTTTGTAGCCTACATTACAAAGATGGATGCCGCCGTCGAACATCACTCGTTGGAATCAGCTCTCGCGTCTGTTTTAAGCCATTTGAACGTTTCCTTTTTGTTAAAAACCGAGCAAAGAACAACACTCGGAGATGTTTCTCCGCCGCTCTGCATACGTCATCTCCTTCATCGCTCTGATTGGGTTTAGGTCTATCCGCGACGTCCGTTGGTGACGCCCCTCTGGAAATGATTTGTCTATGACGCTTTGCCAGACCATAACTCAGTTACAACTGAGAATGGTCTGGTCTTAACCAGGCTAGTTTAGCTCCTGTTTTCATAATCCAGTTGGTTCATAATATATAAAATGAAGTCCCGACCTCAATTTTATACTTGTATTGTTAAAAATTTTGTTGTAAAATGCAATTTATTCCTGTGATCAAAGCTGATTTTCAGCATCTCCAGTCTTCAGTGTTACATGATCCTTCAGAAATCACTCTAAAATGATGATTTGCTGCTCAAGAAACATTTCTGATTATTATCAATGTTAAAAACAGTTGTGCTGCTTCATAATTTTGTGGAAATAGTTTGTAGATTTTTTGATGAATAAAAAGTTCAAAAGAACAGCATTTATTTGAAATAGAAATCTTTTGTAACATTAGTACTGTCTTTACAGTCACTTGTGATCTCTTTAAAAAAAAAAAAAGTCTCAATGACCCAAACTTTTAAATTTATTAGCTATATATATAAAATGGGTTGCAAACTGTGTTGTCTTCAGTGAAAAACATTCACGTTGTCTCCAGAACGTACACAAACTGTGATCCCTGGAATGGTGCTGCTTGGATTGGTCTAGTACACTTCAGCAAGGCCAGTCTAATTTCACACAGCGTTCACACTTTTCACACATCGACCCTTGAATGTGTGTGTTTTTGTGTTGGGAGTGACAAAAAAACGTGTAAGAGAGGATCTTCGAGACAAGCCGTGAGTTCACGCACAGTTCTTAACCTCGCTGTCTGCGGTGAATAGGGACTTCTTCTGTTCTGTAGAACCGGTTTAATGTTTTCTCCCAGCACAGCTGCCCACGCACATCTAGAGAGACTGTAGATGGGCTGTTTACTGTGATTGAAGTGGACATTCATTTGGTGGTGTTTGCTCTATAAGGCAACACAAACCCCCGACTCAAAGTATTAAACTTTAGCCTGTAATTTGTACTGGCAACAACCCATAACACTCTTGAATCGTGATGGCAAGTTTTGCATGGGCGATCCCCACTCATTTTGTAGTTAAAATTAGCCGAGTTGAGATTTGAAAGTTTGTGGTCAAATTTGACCGGTGATATTCATACATAGAGTTTCCACTAATGTCAGCTGGGTATCCTCATTAGTAATTTGTAGGAGATAAAGAAGAGAAATATAAAGAGAGTGCCATTGCTTCAGGGAAAAAGTCCCATGATCCTTTGCGTTGCTGACATTAACCTGCTGACCTCAGGGCATGAGTGCATCCCTGCACTCACTGTTGAAGAAATGCATGTTGTTAATGCGAGTGTGATCTTTTTGAAGAGTCGTGCCGAATACAGAAGAGTGTGTGAGCGGCTCGCAAGGTCTTTTGTTTTATGCTGTTCTTTGTCTTCTTTGTTTCTTTTAATTGGATGAATGTAACGCAACTGTTTCGTCATGCACACAAAGACAGTCAGAGTGTGTGTTTGTGAACATCTAAAGGCCCTTTCACATGACTCGCGTCAGGGTTTTAACGTGACTCTCAATGTGCCGCTTTGACCTCCACATGAAAAGAGTTGCACATCGTGTCAAAGGAGAGGGATTTCACAAGGTTGCCTGTAGTTCTGGGAAATGTTGTTAAAACAGTTGTTTCTTGATGTCAATCATAAAAATGTGACACAATTTTGACAATATTGATTATAATCTTAATATTTGCGCATTTCCTCTGCAACCGCTTAAAATAGTGTAATTCTTTTACCAAACAGCTGTATTATTTTACTATTCTTTTTATTTATCATTGTAAGTATTATTTTTACTATTACATTCTTCATTCATATTTTGAATTAGCTTTTGTTTTTTTACTTTTCATTTCAATTTGTGCTCAAGTTTTAGTTATGCGCTTTTGGCATTTTGATT